AAAATAAAAATATATACATATATATATATTTTTAAAAAGGCACAGCCTTGGGAGAGCAGGCTTGGATGTCAGCTTAGCTTCGACTGCCTTCATGGGCTTAAGACAAGGACCGAGATTTCTCGATCCCAAAACCCAACCAACAAAAAGCATCAAAAAGAGCTGGCCCTTCTGCATAAACGAGAAGCAGCTGTATGGAGGCCCTGTGTCCTGAGAGGGGGTGGTAGTGACTTGGAAAAGTAGAGGTAAGAGATAGGAGAGTCTACTGTAATGAGCATTGAATGGTGAGATTTTGGCACCCAGGTTGGTTCTCAGGGTGCAGTCGGGAACCCTAAGGGTGGGCCCTTCTGGGTATGTCTCCCAGCAGAGGAAGGCTGTCAGGCCTGAGCAGGAGGACGAGGGGAGCAGGAGGGCGAGGGGAGCTGAGTTCTCACACTTGAGCATTTCGGGGCTTGAAATGTGCTTGGCTTGACTACGAAGTCCTACCCTCAGCGTCCTGTGGCATGCCGGGGGACAGGGGTGGTGAGCAGGTGCGGAACAGCCACCCTGCCCTGCGGTGGTGCCTGAAGGGCCAGGGAGAGGTTCCATCTCGGGGACGGGGTTGGGGCGATGGGTATATGCAGGGGCGGTGGCCACCTGATGGGCCACCACTAGCTTAGTCAGAGTTGAAAAGAGACTGGCAAGAAAGACCAGACCCTTACAGCACAGTACCTGGCTCGCAAAGAAATGCCCAATAATTCTGACGATCACTTCCTCGTTTTCATCCGGCGTTTGGTCACGAGGCACGATGACTTCTGCACTGGTTAGGTTCTGCAGTTCATTCACCTGGGAGGGAGAAAGGTGGGCTCAGGGGGCAGCGGGGGAGCGGAGAGCAAGGAGGTGGAGGTGCCCACCTTCCCTTCAGTCTGGCACGCTCCTGGGCCTTCCCGGCCCTGGTCACCTGGGGCCCTGCTGGTTTGGACTCCGGGAGGCTCCAGGGCAGGGAGAGGGAGTCCATCCCCTGAGTCCATGGAGCTGCTCCATGGGGCTGAATTTTCATTCTGCAGTTCTCAACAGTGTGGTGCCCACCCACGCTCCCTGGGGCTCCAGGATCCCAATAACCCAGGGATGAAATCACTGCTGGACAGCTAAGGACCCTTCATTCTCATTCTTGCCTCCGAGTCTTGCTCATGCTGTTCCTACCCTAGGTGACTGTGTTCTCCCTGCCACTCGGCCAGGCCCACCTCCTTGTGAGGCCTCCAGGCCGTGGGTCCTGCCTTATCTCAGCTCCCTCACTCGCCACAGTAGCAGCACACTCCTGAGGGTTTGTGCCATGGCCTCGGCCCTGTCCCAGAGCTGAGCACACACACGTACGATGGACAGTTGACAGTGGGGGAGAGGGGTGCACACAGGATTCAGTGACTGGTTCTAAAATGACCAAATAGGACCTTGAAGGACGCAGGATTCTATGCCCTCGTGGTCTTATCTCAGTGGTTCTCAACCTTCTGGCCCTTTAAATACAGTTCCTCATGTTGTGACCCAACCATAAAATTATTTTAGTTGCTACTTCATAACTGTAATGTTGCTACTGTTATGAATCATAATGTAAATATCTGATATGCAGGATGGTCTTAGGCGACCCCTGTGAAAGGGTCGTTCGACCGCCAAAGGGGTCGCGACCCACAGGTTGAGAACCATTCTTATCTGCTTCCTTTTGCCCACTGCATGCCAACTTGCATAGTTGGATGTGGGGAGCAACACGCATGCCACACAGCTTCACTCTTTTGCCTAAAGGTAAATCATTCTATCTGTGATTCCTTGAAGAGTTTTTACATAAAGAAAACAGCGCGCGCGCGCACACACACACACTCACACATTCACTCAGGCCCACAGCAACCTCCCGAATCCCTGCCACCTAGAACAGTGATGGCGGACCTCTGACACGCGAACTCATTTTTTTGGTTGATTTTTCTTTGTTAAATGGCATTTAAATATATAAAATAAATATCAAAAATATAAGTCTTTGTTTTACTATGGTTGCAAATATCAAAAAATATCTATATGTGACACGGCACCAGAGTTAAGTTAGGGTTTTTTGAAATGCTGACACGCCGAGCTCAAAAGGTTCGCCATCACTGGGCTAGGACGACACTCGCCAGCCAGCACAGGCCGGGAACATCCCAGGGCCGTGTCCCCTCCAGGCGGGTAGCTTGCGCTCTAGAACACACCTGGGGCTGGTGACCGGCTCATGTCTAAAGGCTGCAGAGTTCATTCTCTGTTGCTTTTCAAATTGCATTTGTGGTATTGCCACCTTCAGGCTAAAACCTTGAATATTTTATTACAAAATGATTTCCATCTCACCCACCGCCCTGCTGCTAAACTAGTCCGGGCTGCAGACGGCCAGGTTTGGGAAATAACCGGAAGACCGAATCTGCAGGAGGGAGAGTCAGGGCCTCTGGGCATCTGTGGGGAGAGTTTAAAGAGCAGAGAGAGTGTAGGACACTCAAGGCCGCGGGCCTGGAGCGTGAAGTTCAGTGCAGACGGTGGTCTGCCGAAGGGGTGTGCGCGGGTGGGGCTCTCCGCCCTGTCAGTTTCCTGTCCATTTCCTGCTGCCCGTGCGGATACAGAGCGGCAGGAGGCAGCCTCCGGTGCCAGGGTGTGGAGACCCTCCCATCAGGTCCCGAGGCGGTGCTCCTGGGCACACACACTGGGCTCTAGCAGCACCATGGATCGGGCCCTCGGCTCCGAGTGACGCTCATTACATTTGGTTCTTGCAGAGCCAATGGGGTCTGAGGGGAGTGAGGCCGGGCGGAGAGTCAGCCCCGAGATGAAGCCAGATCTGGGCACACTCACGGTTTTGCCGCCCTTGCCGATCACCCGGCCAGCAGTGGAAGAGGGCACTCTGATGTGGGCTTCCAGCTTCACCTCCTCTTTGGGGTTAAAGAAGTTTTCTTCTTTCAGTTTCCCAAAGATCCGCCCCTGAGCCTGAGAGAGCGAGACATGACCGACGGTCGCACAGCTGCCAGTCCCCGGCTTCCACAGTGTGGCTGCAGGAATGGGGAGCCAGCAGCTGCACACCCAGCCCCAGGGAAGCCGCACACAGGCGTGAGGCGCTGCTCCCGCCACCTCCCAAGACCGCACTGACCTTGAACTGGGCTTCAGGCGGTCCGGTGATGATGACCATCCTTTCACTGACGTCGGGGCCTTCCGCTGGGGCAATCTGCAGGTCACAAGGAAAGGACCATGCTGCGCTCAGCTGCACCCCCAGCCCCTCCTCGTCTCAGTGGATGGCACACACACCAGCAGAGAGTTCAGGGCTCCCACCTTTGTTTCGTCTTACCCCTGCCTCCACGCTGGGACACAGGAAGTCACTGGGTGTTTGGCTGCCCAGGGAGAGTTGGCAGCAGGCCAGTAGTCATTGCCTGTCCCTGCCCCGAGCACCAGTGAGCCTGGCCTCCTGTCACTAAGGGAGTCAAAAGCTCTAGGAAAAGGGAGGGACAGACTGTGCCAACTGACCCAGGGCCTAGAGGGGAGGAGGGACTGGCCCACAGAGGCCTCCATGTGCAGCCAGCTTGCAGCAAAGTAACCGTGGTGCTAAGGCTCAGCGCCCAGAGGCAGCCGCCGCATGCGACAGCCGACCTAGAGCAGGCACGGCCCGGAGATGGCTGAAGGGCTAATTCTCGATGCCCGTTGACCAAATCAGGTCTGCCGGCCTGTTCACTTCCTAGTGGCCCGTGCCTGCCTTGCTCAGATTCTGCAAGGAACTCCCACCCCTCAATCGCCTGGCATTCACCAGCCCAGACCTGAGGTTTCAGGATGGCGTTCTACAGGCCCCTCTGGAGGGCCAGGCATAAAGGCCTCATTTTATGACTGAAGCAAATGGGACCCAGACAAGTGAGGTGACTGCCAAGGTCACAGGGTGAGCTGGGGCTGCAGCAAGACCAGGGTCTGGGTGTCCCCACTGGCACTGCCGACCGGGTTTTGTGTGGCATCTGAAGCCTACGGACCAGGTGCTATGCAGGGAGGCAGTGGGAGCTCAGCTCTTGCCTGCATGTAACCAGAGCAGTCTTGGGGTGCACCTCCCCCACCTCCGCTCTACCCATCCTTTCCAAGTACTGGTTAGTGGAAAGCTCTCCCAACGTGCCCTGGTGTGGACTCTGGGGACTGGCGAGGCGAGGAACGGGCTCCTCTGGTGTGAGTCTTGCTTCAGAGACAGATGCTTTCAGAAACTGGTCAGGATAAAGGGGATCCAGCAAAGACCAGTTTGATTTGGAAAAGGGCAATTTCTCTCACATATACTTGGCTTCCCTGGTTTCTCTCCTCTTCCCTACGCGCTGGAGGCAGGGCTAGGGAAGGAGCAGGGTGTTGGCCCAGCATAAGGGGCATCCACACGCTGCCAGGCTGCAGAGCCCGTCCTGTCCCCGGGGCAGCCATGGCGTTCTACAGGCCCCTCTGGAGGGCCAGGCATAAAGGCCTCATTTTATGACTGAAGCAAATGGGACCCAGACAAGTGAGGTGACTGCCAAGGTCACAGGGTGAGCTGGGGCTGCAGCAAGACCAGGGTCTGGGTGTCCCCACTGGCACTGCCGACCGGGTTTTGTGTGGCATCTGAAGCCTACGGACCAGGTGCTATGCAGGGAGGCAGTGGGAGCTCAGCTCTTGCCTGCATGTAACCAGAGCAGTCTTGGGGTGCACCTCCCCCACCTCCGCTCTACCCATCCTTTCCAAGTACTGGTTAGTGGAAAGCTCTCCCAACGTGCCCTGGTGTGGACTCTGGGGACTGGCGAGGCGAGGAACGGGCTCCTCTGGTGTGAGTCTTGCTTCAGAGACAGATGCTTTCAGAAACTGGTCGGGATAAAGGGGATCCAGCAAAGACCAGGTTGATTTGAAAAAGGGGGCAATTTCTCTCACATATACTTCGCTTCCCTGGTTTTCTCTCCTCTTCCCTACGCGCTGGAGAGAGGCAGGGCTAGGGAAGGAGCAGGGTGTTGGCCCAGCATAAGGAGCATCCACACGCTGCCAGGCTGCAGAGCCCGTCCTGTCCCCGGGGCAGCCCTGCCTCTGCCCATCACAGAGGCCATCCGCAGTGATGCCCCACCACTCAGCCTTTCTGGGTGTAGAGAGGCTGTGGGGATGCTGTGGGGTGAAGCCCAAGGGACTGAGCTCTCTCTCATTTTCAGGAAGGACTGTTGGGAGTGATTCTGCTCTAGCACTCAGGTGGACATATGGAAAAACACTGGACAAGAAAAATAGCGTAACCTGGTAAAATCTTGGCATTTACATTACTTTTTTTTAAAATATATTTTTTATTGATTTCAGAGAGGAAGGGAGAGGGAGAGAAAGATCAATGATGAGAGAATCATTGATCAGCTGCCTGCAACCCAGGCATGTGCCCTTGACCAGAATTGAACCCAGGACGCTTCAGTCCTCAGGCCAACGCTCTATCCACTGAGCTAAACAGGCTAGGGCGGCACTCACATTCTTTAGCTTTGCAGCCTTCATTAATATCTGGGTCCCAGTTTCTAACTTCTGTAATTGGCCCCGTAAGTGCTCAAAATTTACACCTAAGAGCCAGTCCTGTCCCTGCCGGCCTTGGCTGCCTCTACCTCCAACTCTCCCTTAGGGGGAAAAAGGGAGGATTTAGTTGAAATACTCTCATTGTCTCCTGCATGGGATGTCAGACCACAGGCCTGAACACTGGGGAAGGGCCTGGTGGTGCAGCCAGCCCTGTGGTCTTCACACCTACTCAGGGGGCGGGGCCAGCACAGCCTGGACCAGGTCTCCCTGCAACGCACCTGCTGGGTGCAAAGCGCCCCCGCCCCACC